TCTCCCCAACCTCTCTCGGCAGCCTGTTCAGGGCTCCGTCACCCTCAGAGGGAAGAAGTTCTTCCTCGTGTTGGGCCGGAATTTCCTCTGCTTCAGTTTGCACTCGTTGCCCCTTGTCCTGTCGCTGGGCACTACTGAAAAGAGTCTGGCCCCATCCTCCCGACACCTACCCTTCAGATATTTATAAGGTCCCCTTTCAGCCTTCTCTTCTCCAGGCTAAACAAGCCCAGCTCCCTCAGCCCCTCCTCGTAGGAGAGATGCTCCAGTCCCCTCATCATCCTCGTAGCCCTCCTCTGGACTCTCTCCAGTAGCTTCTCATCTTTCTTGAAGTGGGGAGACCAGAACTGGACACAGGACTCCAGATGGGGCCTCACCAGGGCAGTGTAGAGGGGAAGGAGAACCTCCCTCGACCTGCTGCCCACACTCCTTCTAATACACCCTAGAAAGCCATTGGCTTTCTCGGCAGCCAGGGCACACTGCTGGCTCATGGTTAACCTGTCATCCACCAGGACACCCAGGTTCCTCTCCACAGAGATGCTCCCCAGCAGGTCCACCCCAAGCCTGTACTGGTGCATGGGGTTGTTCCTCCCCAGGTGCAGGACACTGAGATCCCCCCCAGCCGCTCCCCCCCAAGCCTGTACTGGTGCATGGGGTTGTTCCTCCCCAGGTGCAGGACACTGCATTTGCCTTTGTTGAACCTCAGCAGGTTCCTCTCTGCCCAACTTTCCAACCTGTCCAGGTCACGCTGAATGGCAGCACAGCCTGCTGGTGTATCCACCACTCCTCCCAGCTTTGTGTCACCAGCAAACTTGCTGAGGGTACATTCTAACTCTTCATCCAGGTCGTTGATGAAGAAGTTAAACAAGACTGGGCCCAGTACTGACCCCTGGGGGACACCACTAGTTACAGGCCTCCAACTAGACTCAGCGCCGCTGATGACAACCCTCTGAGCTCTGCCATTCAGCCAGTTCTCAACCCACCTCACCGACCACTCATCCAGCCCACACTTCCTGAGCTTCCCTAGGAGGATATCCTGGGAGACAGTGTCGAAAGCCTTGCTGAAGTTGAGGTAGACAACATCCACGGCAGAAGGAGGCAGAGAAGGGCCTCCAGGATGTTGCAGGTGATGATGGGCATTGAGATCCTCCCGCTGCTGGCTGGATGGTCCCAGGTAGGATCTGCATGGGCAAGAACACGAAAAAGGCAGACTTGGGATAGGTGGGGGCAGCATCAGTTCTGACCCCCATCACAGGAGGCACTGGCGAGTGGAATGCCCCAGGGGTGAGTGATGGGGAGACTTCCACCCTGCTGAGTAAATTGCAACCCCCCCCAAGCCCCTACCACCACTCCAGTGCCTCCTCCTTGGAGTTTCCCACTCCAGAAAGGAGCCCCTTCCATCCAACCATGGGTCACAGCCTGGGCCCAGAGATACCCAGCCCTGGGGGGAGGACAAATTATCTGCTCACAGTGCAGATGCTGCTGTCCTGGCTGTAGCTGCAAAGTAGGAAAATGGAGAGCTGGGCTGAGAGAGTGGGAATGCAGGTATCGGGGAACCTTCCCCCGAACACACCATGTGTGTGTCTGTAGATGTCCCTGACACATCCCACCCAAATTGCCCCTTCTGTACTGTTAGAAAGGGAGACTGGGACAGGGCCCAGGGCCTTTGCTCTGTGCAGCAGGAAGGATCGTGCAGCCCAGGGGGTAGCCCTTCGGCTGCAGGGCCCCATGGGCAGTGGCCAGAGGACATCCAATTCCACTGAGGCTGCTCCCCACCTGTCACAAGGCTTGCACAATCTACAAGAACATTCTTGCTCTTGGGAAGTCAGGGAACATGACAGGACAAAGTGGACCTTACCCAGATCCCTGCCAATATCAGGGCAAGGGTCCCTGCCAATATCAGGGCAAGGGTCCCTGCCCTGCTGCTCACCTGAGCAGCACACAGCAGTGTCTTCCTTATGCTGACAAACACAGTCATCCCCAGGCCAGGCCCAGAAGTCCTGCAGAAATGATTCCATCCCCTGGCACTTCCTCCAGCCCATCCCCATCCCAAAGGCAGCCTCATGCAGGGCAGATACTGCAGGGCCGCAGCCCAGCTGCCTGCATGCCACCTCAGCATCCTGCACGTCCCAGGACTTGTTGCACACTGTCCCCCAGCATCCACGGTGCCAGACGTCCACTCTGCCCAAGCATCCGTCCTCACCTCCCACAGCACGAATCTTCTCCCTGTCTGGAGAAGGCAAAGACCTGCCATGGCAGTGAGGCAGTAGGCAAGAGCAGCACACAGAGGAGCAGCTCCCTACGTGTGCAGCTCGTGGAGTTGGGGCAGGGGGCCAATGGGTCCAGGGGAATTTCTGGGTGTCCCCCTGAAGAAGAAAACACTGTGGTGCAGGGGCTGGCTCGGGGGACTGGGCAGAAGAGAGCAGGGCTGAGTTCTGCTTGTGTCTCCTTGTGCCATCTTGGTCATGGCAGCAACTGAACCCTGGTCATTCAGGGGACACGTGGGAGCATGAGGGGACCCTGACTGCTCAGCCCCAGAGGATCCCTGGCTCACAGAGCGCATCAGGGGGGTGTCCATGGAGGGGAGGCTCCTCTGAACCCTGTCTGGTCTCTTCTAAGACCCCACTTTTTGATGCCTCTGCCTTCCCCCGCTGCTGCTGGCCACCTGGGGAACAACTGCTGCTGGATGCTTGTGGCTGTGGTCACATTTGTACCACCAGCAGCAAAAGGGTCTGACATGGAAAGCAAAAGGCCCTCCAAGCTCTCTTCATTTGGCACCACGCAGTGGGGAGCAGGAGCTGGGGTGATACTGGTGTCTGGGTGGCTCAGAGTTACCATTGCAGGTGATGTGGATCTCGTCTCGTAGGTCTTCACATGACTGCGGGTCCCAGGGAGTGGAGGGACACTGCCAGAAGGAGCTGTTTTTTTCCCCACACTGCACATTACCCAGCCAGGCAGGGCCAGACACCCTGCTGTAGAGCAGACCTCTTTCCAGGGATCCTCCATCCCTGCAGCCCAGCTCCTTGCATGCCGGCGACACCGTGTCAAGAGTCATCGAGCTGGAGCAAACACTCCCCCATGTCCCGTTGTAGAAAATCTGCAGGCGCCTGGAGCAGCCGTCGCTGTTCTCCAGCCTCAGGGCCACGAACTCTGGGAGGAAAGGCAGCAAGGGGGAACAGGCTGGTCTGGGGCTGTGGGAGGTAGAACATCCCTGCACTCCCCAGGCCCTCAGCCAGGCGAGGGCACGGCCAGTAAGTCCCCCTTGCACCCAGGGGCAGAGAGAAGTCCCTGATGGAGAGACACCCCTGCCCTTCCCACTAAACCCCAGGGACGGCTGAGCTGCCCAGGGACCCCCAGTGGGACTGAGGGTTCCTGTACGTGGGTGTCCAAAGGGTGGGCTTGGGCAGAGGCTCAGAGGCACCCAGGGACAGCCCTGGCCATGCTTGGCTCTCCCCATGTGTTGGTCTACCCAGGAACCAGGCTATGCCCACAGCTCCCAGCACAGACCTGAGCAGACAACTCCCGCATCCTCTTTGTGCCCGCAGTCGTGCTGCCCCCAGGACCCTGCCGGGCAGTCCCAGAGAGCAGCTTTGGCCCCGGAGCAGTTCACTCCATCCAGCCAGATCTGCTCAAAGCCTTCTCCGAACCGAGCAGAGCCAACGGCCTCCACTGCCCCTCCGCAGCCCAGCTGGTGGCAGAAGATGGCAGCGTTAGACAGGTCCCAGCCGTCATCGCAGAAGGTCCCCCAGCTGCCCTGGTAGTAGATCTCCAGCTGCCCTGGTGGTAGATCTCCTCTCTCCCGGCACAGTGCCCAGCCCCGTTCACCAGCCGGACCCGCCGGCTCCCTGCATCAGGGAGAAACCTCAGGTGCTGTCAGGGGCCTGTTGCCCACCCAGCCCAGAGCCTGGGGGGCCTGTGCAGCTCTACTCACCCCAGCAAATGACTCCAACATCCTCTGCAACCCCTGCTGCCAGTGCACTCTCAGGCAGGGAGGTGTTGCAGAGGGACAGGTTGTCCTCATGCCCTGTGCACCGGACCCCTCGCAGCCCCACGGGGCCCATCCCTCGCTCAGGCTTCAGGGGGTTGTAGGCTTTTTCTGCCTCTTTGCACTGCAGCTGCTGGCACACCACCCTGGCCTCCTGCATGTCCCACTGGTCATCCAGGACTCTGCCCCATGTCCCATGCTGGAAGATCTCCACTCGCCCATCACACCGGCTCCCTCCATCCACCAGCTGCAGGGATGCAAAGCTGGCTGAGCCTGGGGGGAGAAGAGATGCCACGGCCATCAGTGGCAATGGGGAGCACAGCACCTTTCAAAGAGCAGGGTGAGAGGTCCTCAGCTCTGCCGTATCGTAGCAGTCTGTCTGAGCAGGAAAAACCCTCGAGACGGCTTTGGGGAAACCAGGGTTTCTCCAAGGAGAAATTCAGCCTGGTGCTGCCACGGGGTCCCCTGCTTTGGGTGGTCATGTTGCACACAAAGGCAAGTGCAGTTAATGCAGCATTTTCCCACACAAGGGCAAGTGCAGGGTCCTGCACCTGGGGAGGAACAACCTCATGCACCAGTACAGGCTTGGGGTGGACCTGCTGGAGAGCAGCTCTGCAGAGAGGGACCTGGGCGTCCTGGTGGACGACAGATTAACCATGAGCCAGCAGTGTGCCCTGGATGCCACGCAAGCCAATGGGATCCTGGGGTGCATCAAGAAGAGTGTGGCCAGCAGGACGAGGGAGGTTCTCCTTCCCCTCTACACTGCCCTAGTGAGGCCTCATCTAGAGTACTGTGTCCAGTTCTGGGCTCCCCAGTTCAAGAAAGATGAAGAGCTACTGGAGAGAGTCCAGCGGAGGGCTACAAGGATGATGAGGGGACTGGAACATCTCCCCTACGAGGAGAGG